ACACAAACACCCTGTATACTCTTTTTCACATTAATGTGCATCAAGTAGGTTGTAGAAGTCTAAATGAATCTTTAATTTAAAGTCCGATTTACACAAAAAGTGTCGTTAATGTCATTCAAAACAAATTTAATCACATCAATAAAGACAAAAATACAGGGTGTTTCACATAACTTTACGAGGCTTGCGCCTAATGTACGCACCCAAATATACAAAAGTCACAGAACACTGGATACAAAAAATACAAATTTAATTATTTAATTTTTGGAAACCCTTGACAGTACTTGTCAAACTAATCACTGTTTCATTAATAGTCATAAACTACAGTTTTTCAGAAACAATTATCATTTGTTCTATCAAGAGTCGGCATGAATATGATTATAGTTTATCTATCTTAATCACTAACTAACTAAAAACGTATTTTTTTAAAGGGTGAACAAACTAGAGAAGAATATCCAATTTTTCAAAATTTGTAATCGAGTTCGTAACGGAATATGTATTATTGATTGCATCTTACAGACGCAGACCTCGTAAAATTACGTGAAACACCCTGTATTTATGTCTGCTATCCTATGTTGATTATGTTGTTGATTTTAACTATTATTTGCTACATGGGGTACAGATTTATTTGAAAAAATAATTTTTAGGGAAGATTGAGTTTAGGATTGTTTAAATTTTCGCATGGTTGCCACCTTAAAATGATCCCTTTCAACGACTACTTCGATGCACATTAATATGAAAACGAGAATACATAATTTTAAATAAAAAAACACATTTTTTAAGTATAAGGACCAGTTTAATTGGTTTTTGTTTACTAAAACTTTGATAAAAACCACAATTTATTTAACTTATTTTCAGTCAAAAAAATTACAAATAATTTGGCCCAGCGCATCCACCATTTTTCTTTTTGTATTTTAACATTCTGAAAAAAAAAGAATAAAATAGACCCGAATGGTAATATATGCCTAGACGTATAAACATAAAACACAAATTCACACAATTTTGTTGAATTCGATTAAAATCAAAAGGGCACTTACACTCGTACTGCAAAATTTATAAACAACATTATTTTATAAATACTTGGCTTAAAAAATTATTATTAAAATTGGTTACTTTGGTTGTGGCGGTTTTGTTTGTGATTGTTTTTTTTTTAATCGGCCGAAAAATGAACCAAATAGTCCGAAAAGTAGCACTTTTCCGTACTCCCATGTAATTAATTGAAATCGCCAGTCGAAATATCAATATTTTTAAGAAATCTCTATAAACCACGTCTCTATAAAGTTAAAACAATGTTCCCGACACACAAAAATGATTACGTGAAACAGAGCTAAGCGAAAATCATTCCGTTCTTCATCTTTCTGAAGAGAGGAGTCAGTAAAGTAAAGCTTTTTGAGACAACTATGCGAAGGCTAGAATTAGGATTGTTTTTGTTTGACTTTACCTCGTGAGATCCTATTTATACTCCGCTGTTGCAGAAACGCTTTTGCAAACCCCCTTCGAGTGTCATATGCATAAACAAAACTTTAAACTAAAGCAGTAGCCACAGAAGGCGTACAGTTTTACGATATTACAAAATCGCCTCAATAAAACAGTCGTTTTTATATAGAGCAAGCGTGCCGACATCTACATACAATGGAACTTTGCAATTTCATGTGTAGCTGAAAGTTTTTCAGGCCTAGCTGCATTAATCTACGACTTTTATCAGTCCGCATTACCATAAACACAACAATATCGCAACGGAATGGAATCGTCTAAACGGCGACATTGTGACACTTCCAAATTTACAGCACGTTTAAACTTAAGCTGAGTGGTTTTATTAGACAAGACTTGGAGTTATTTCGAGGGTCCCAGTGGTGGTAATTAGGCTATTTCTGGATTGAAACCTTTTCTTCAAGAGAAATGGAGACAATTAATTTAGTAGAAGAGATTATTGAAGCTCTAGTGCACAATTTAGACGTTATCTCTCTTCTTATTACAGGACTAGAAGCTACTGGTGCACGGCAAATGGAAGAAACTAGAAGATCGATTGTAGAGATAAATTGGATATGTTCACGGATATAACAGGTACAAATCGTGGGATGCAAATTTCTGACGTAGATTCTTATCAATGGAACCCTCACGAGATTGTTTCCATTTTTTCATCACGTTAATAAAAGTAGACATAACTTAATATGTATCTGCGGTAGGTAGTTTATTTGATTGACAAGTACCAAATGACTGTAATGACTGTGATTTTACTTTCAGGTTGGCATCAATTCAAAATCTTAGTTTGGTTTAAATCTCAAACTTAAAGGTCCTGATATAACAAATTAAAAGGATTATCAATAATTTAGTGTGTTGCCCATAGATTTTTTATTTGTCCCAACCTGGTATTTTAATGAGTCTGTGTCATTGTTATCGTCAATGTTCCTAAAGAAAAAATATTCGAAGTGCTACCAATTTATGTTAATACTTTGAATGCTAAACTTTAAAAACTAATTAGTATTTTAATTTAAAAATAAATCTACAAGTGATACTACAGATCATCGAGAGTTCTATGGCCTACATAAATCTCTTCCTGTTGAGTTTTACGCTACTCTAAAAATATTACAAATTTCTATATCTTTAATAGTATCGAATTTTGCAGTATGTCGATTGACTTGGTAAAAAACTATAAAAAATAGCCTTAAAAACATTCCTATAGGAAATGTAGTGTTGATGTCAGCTTTGAATCATTGTAAACTGAAACAATGGTGCTATTTGCATAATTTCTCTTTATTATTATTGTTATTCATTGCAATATGTTATATTGTGTAGCTATTTTGATAGATACAGGCTGAACATAAAGTATGGAATCCATTGTTTTTTGCTTGAACTATACCTTCAGGCTGTTCCGGCTACACCGGAAATGGATATCAACTTCGTTATTTTAAATAGAAAGTTATGTTTTTTATTGCGTTTTTGGATTACTCAAGTTTTTATCAGACTATACCTAAATTTAACCATTTTTGAAATATTTAGACTTATTTGAAATTTCTTTAATTTGCATCTTCCTCTCCAAAAATTGATAACTCCATTACCACTACCATTTTTAATTATTTTGAAATTGCATTGGGACATATGAAAGAGAAAGGTTAGATCTTTTCTTTCGTGTATTTATAACTGGAATAATAATTAACAAATTTCCAAAATTTAAGGTCACGTTTGGGAAACTTCAAATACTCGTAACTAATTTTTTCCCCAATTTTTTCTTATCTAACTGATAAAGAATTTAATTCTGTATCGATCTGTATCAACATTTCCTATATCTAAATTTAATGATTTCCAAGTTATTTTGACTTTTTTACAATGGAAGAAATTCATTACTAACCATGTGAATTTTCGCATAGTTTGCCATGGAAATATTTCTCACTGAAAAAAAAAAGTTTTTTTTTCACAATTATTGTGTTATATAGGTATAGGGAATGTCAATACAGATCAAAGCAGAACTAAATTCTCCCCTATTTAGTGAAGAAAAAATTAGGGTGTTTTATTTAGAAAAAGTGAGTTAAGGATATTTGAAGTTTCCTAAACGTAACCTTAAATTTTGAAGGTTTGTTAATTATTTTACCAATTATGAATACACCAAAAGAAAGATATAACCTTTCTCTCTCGTATACCCAAATAAGGCTTAAACATAATAAAAAATGGTAGAGTTATCGATTTTAGAATAGGAAGATTCAAATCCAATTTTTTTTTAAAAAGTCTAGATATTTCGAAAAGAGTTAAACTTAGGTATAATAAAGGCTAATGAAAACTCTTTCAAAATCACTTGAGTAATCCAAAAACGCAATAAAAAACTTAGCTTTTTATTAAAATAACGAAATTGATACCCATTTCCGTTGTCACCGAAAGTTCTGCCATTTTAAAAATATTCTCAATGCGCAAATCCTAACCGATTAGATACTTACTGAAAAAGTGATGATCGTTTTGTAAGAACAGAGTTTTGCAACTTTTTTCAAATTGCAATTAACTATAATTTTTTTTTCAATAGGTACAAAAGTTCAATAATATAACTATCTAAATAGATTGTTGTCAAAGAAATTTTTGATGTATGAAAAGATTTGTCATCATTCTAATTTAAAATGGTAATGACTGAGCTTTGCTCTACCATACACTTTAATTTACTTGTAATAAGCACCGCTCCCATTTTTCGCACGCCACTGCTTCGAATTTAACAAAAAAATCGCCCCTGTCTCATTTCCTATTCATGTCTGAGTTATTAAGCTCGCTCGTTTATATAAAGTGACACACGCAAAGTAATTGCTAACGATTGAAGTCAGAATCGAGTCCTTTAATTAACTGTTGTAACTGTACCATGGTCTGTGTGGTCTGACGACGGAACACCACCACAAAAACCCATATCGTGTGTCACGGAATTATGTTACGGACTGCCGAGCCGTTGGTTTGGCACGTGCTGATACATTTTAATTAGGTTGTCTCGTGTGTTATTGTTGTTGTTAGTGCAAATGTTGTATACAGTTGTACAACCGGCCTCAATTGTGACAATTGGAGCAATAAAATTTATCAAAATAAACAAAAATCAGACTTGGAGTGTTAAAGACAAATATACGGAAGTGTCACTGCCTCAAACGTTGTGTTTGATCTTTTTTTATTTATTTTTTTATTTAAAGTTAAAAAACTCAGAAAAGCATTGACTATTATTTAAACCGTCAATTATATACATATTCTAATAAAACATCATACATTTTCGAAATTTTTAAAAATCTATACTTGGGTATAATATAACTATTATACTGAGTGTATCATAAACGTCGGTCCATCAATTACTTATTAAGGTGGAAAAATAAATTATTGTTGCATTTTTCTTGAATAAAAAGATTTTTTTATTTAATTCGTTTGGTCACTTCCTTATTTTACAAAAGTAAATTTCCTTACCTTCCAAATATTCTTTCTTTTTCCTTTTTTTAAAGTTACAACTCTGCTAACTATGATACAGAACCGTGTATAATCTCCCTAATTACCTTTGGTGTCGAAAGGTATTTCCTCGCAGCCTCCATCTCTATCCGTTGGACACTTGTAGACAGCGCCTCCGTGAATAACCCCCGGTTGACTGGAGGAGGCTTCCGGCGCCCCCACTATCAACCTGTAACACAAAGAAAGAAATCAGAAAAAACCTGCCCTCCCTTGATTGTATCTAAACCAACATGAGGTCATAATACGCAGACAATATATCATATTATTATTATAACCCAGTGAACTAATTTGATAGATTGAAACAGGAAGGGTGTGCCAAAGTTAATATCGATTACGAAAGTGGCCGTCTTTGTTTATGGCTCGGGTGATAAATGGGTTGTGTTCATGGACAATTTTCTAGATAAATGCCATCTCATTGGGAATTGAAGAAAGCGGAAATTTGAGGTTGGCGGGTGTAATCCGGTCTTTATTGAGGAACTGATCTAATCTTTGGGGAGTAAATCGGAAATGTTAGTAGAACGGAACTGACCTGGACTACAACAAATCACTTTGGCCCTTTTAAATAGATGAACATTTTATTTGTTGGACATAAGATACATACAGGGTGAATAAAAACTACCTAAGTTGGTTTTGGCCATTGGCTCGTGTGTGTCTCTCTGTGTGTGTGTCTCTCTGTGTGTGTGTCTGTCTGTCTGTAAACAGCATATCTCGTGAACGATAATAGCTAGAATCTTGAAATTTGGTATGGAAGTTACTTATAGGAAGGGGACGCAACACGAAACAATTGGTAAAAATCGGTCGTACTGTGCGGCCGCAAAGACTAAAAGTCGATTGAAGATGCAATAAATTCATGGGGATGCAAATTATTTAGAATCATGAAATATACCTCACTAAACAGTAAAATGTGATAAAATAAAAAGAATAATGAGTAACAAACTAAAAAAAAATTGCACCCCACACTCGAACTATGATCTATTTTGCGTGTAATCCGACAGGTGGCACTAATGCAAAAGTTAGGTTTATGACTCCGATTTCCAACTCTAAATTATTGTCGTAAGGATGTTTTCCAAATAAGTAAGATAAGGAAAGTCGTGTGATGTTCACACTAGATTTTTTAACTAAACTATTTACCTTTAGTACAGAAAATTGATGAAAGATAAGCTGAAAAAATAAAAATGAATTTGTAGTTTTATAAATGGCAACAAATATGTGTTGCTTTTCTTTCATTTTTTTTTCTTTTATTTCTTACAAAATAATGGTAGCCTATTTCTTATGCCTCCTTTTTTTGTTTATTTTTCTTCTTTACAAAAAACAATTCGAATATGACAAAAATCGCAACAAAGAAGTTTTTGACTTTGTAAAAAAGTGTAATTACTCTTTATAAAATATTGCAACAGAAAATAATCTCTGATTTTCAACGCGAATCTAATTTAAATTTTATTCAGTAATAAATTTGCGACAAAATTGCAGGAAACCGTTTCATATTCTTTTATTGAAAGTATTCTATACACGGATCATAAAATTTTAATAGCAAAATTTTATATATAATTTGCTACGATGTAATAAATTGTTACGTTTAATTTCATACTTTCACACCAAGAATAAAATATTGTGTGTTTTAAACAATAAACGTCGTATTCAATTTTTAGTGAGGTTTATTTTCATACATTTCTCAAATATTAATTATCTTTTGGTTAGTAATTTATAAATGTCGCTATATTTCCTATTGACTACATTACTCAATGTTGCCAACAAAAATTCAAAGTGACAGGTCACTCCTAACAAAAATTAATAAAAATAAACCGACATACTTACATTATTCGTATTTCCTCCATGTTGAATATAAATGACGTCAACTAAATGTCTTTAAAATATAATGAAAAACATAATTTACGGTCATGTGAAAACAGCATTTATGCATTTCCATAATTAGCAATGTTTTATTTTTCTTTTATTGCTTTAACACGTAGTCAGCAGTGATTATTCATCACAACTAATAAATTTATCATCTCGTACTTAAACACAGGTGCTTAGTAAAAAACTAATTTGGTAGCAATAAAAGCAAATTTTATGGATCAATATTATTACACATTACTGCAGAAGGTGTTAAAATTGTTTATATTTAAAATCCATTAAAGTAAAATGTAGCTTTCAAATATTCAAAAATTGCTGTACTGTTTTATACCAACAAATGTAAAGTCTTTTCTTTTCCTTCTAATCTTTCACAACTTAAGGTTAAAATGTACTTATTTCTGCTACACTTGGTAATAAGGATATTTTTACAACAAAACTAATTTCATGAACAGGAAATGAAAAGACTTGTAAAAAACAAATTTCCGATCCCTTCAACTCTATAATTAAAAATAACATTTGTTAATGAGCCGATAAAAGTCACTATTGAGCCTGATTGATAATGACCGGAAACAATAGATTTACTGTTCGGCATAGTCTTAAGAGATCTTTTTGTCATGACACGATGTTATCACTAACAAATAAATTTTTCCTCGTTTTGATATAATTTGTGCATTTACATAAATAAACAATGTTTAAATTAAACTTCCTGATGTATTTAGTAATTTGGTGACTCTTTTATTCAGCTTAAACAAAATTAATGGCATGTGTCATAAGTATACAGTAAGAGTCTATTTTTATTAGAGGTGCAAACAAGATTATGATGTGGACGTAGAAATAACTTTCCTTGATCAAGATGTATTTATGGGACACTAATTTCATTTTAAACGAAAAAACACAGAAAATGCTAACATGTAGTTCGTTGATCAGGAAATAGATTCTTTAGTGAATGAATTGTTTTAATTTAATTTTGATTTTCTTCTTGATATTTTTTTTAAGTAAACGAAGAAACCATAAACAGTGTAATTTCCTACAGTATGAAGAATGAATAGTTATTTTGGTACTTATTTCTTTTAAATAGCAAAAAGTAATTACAGCGGCTTTTGTGGTACTTACCTCCATTAGATAATCCATCCATTTTAGACCTCAAAACCCAAAACAAAATTTCTCCCATTCCGGAAACCCCACCAATTTTGACTAATTAAGCACCAGATTAGCATCAGCCCACACCAAAACAGTGACAAGTGCGTGCCTTGTTCCCACCTGACCAGCTTATTGGCGTTTCCCAACCGGTCCAAGTTTGGTATTATCACGAATTCATGAGTGAAATGACAATTGCGAAACGATTTCGATTGGACTCGAATCTGGCCGGAACGGCGTCACATTCGACCCTAATCTGATTACAATATGTGTCAAAAACTATCACTCTCCTTTTTCACGACTTTCGCTTTCGAAGAACAGTTACGTTACGCCACGGCTATGTATGTAAACGCCGTTTCATTCATCTTTGGTGCCATAAAAGTGGCTTTATAAAGCGATGGCCTTACTTAATAATTATCGATCGTTTGCTAACTTCTTTATTGGCAGTTTTAGTTTTATGGGTGGGTCTAGGTCAAAGCGTATCTCTTGATTAATTCCAACAGCTGTTTTTAGATTAATCGGTGAGGGGTCGCCTGATGCAGAGGTGGATTGTAAAATAAATCAATAGAGACAACGCCAACGTGCGATAATATTTGTCACTTTTTAAATGAGTGGCGGACATTTCCTGAGAATTTCGTGGGGGCGTAGGATGAGCCAACGTTTTGTGGCGAATCAAAGAAAAACGGTGTGTCATCGATGTTGTCATGTTAGATGAAGCCAAAATTTGTTATCAAAACTGATTTATAAGCTTTCGTCTACTTCTTAGAAAAAAAAATATTTTTGTTCAAAAAAAGTTCAAGTTGCTAACTCAGAAAGCAAAAAATACTCCTAATAAAAAAAGAAAAGAAAAAACTTATACTAGATGTTCGTAAACTTCTGTAGTTAATCTGTAAAATGTTTTTAGTATTATGTGTAACAGCTTTTTGCTGTAATTTGATTAAATGACTATAAACAAAGCATCCTAAATCAAAAATTAAATAATTAAACATAAAAAATACTTTTAATTTAAAGTTTATACGAATACAATGTCGATCACTGTTCTTAAAACAGTCGTATGTTTTTCAAAACAGCAAGAAAAAAATAATAAACAAAGAATAAGCAACCACAATCTTGGACATGTGTCGTATTTTGTTATGAAATAGATCTGTAGATATATTTAATCAGGAAAATATATTTTACGACCTCGGTAAGGGTTAGATTGTGGTTGCGGTTTACCAACACTAATCCATATCAGAAAGAAATAGATGTGTCAGAACTCGTGCCACAAAAAATTCTATCTGCCAAAAAATTTTGATATTTATTTTTTGACATTTTACATCTTTTCTGTCTATTTAATGATACTGATGATCTTGTACAGGTTTTTTTTTTAATTATTTAGTAATTTTGCCAATAAAAGCCACAAATAACATTAAACAGAGTTACAATTTAAGAGACAGCTTCCTTGTTTCCTCTTCCAATCGCCTGTAGTAAAAAAAACTTATTAAAATTATTCTTCCAACAGAAATAAATAAAGTCAAAGTGCAAAATTTAAACTCTCATAACTTCGAAATTTTTGTTGATAGAATTTTTTTAACATTTTTTTCTACGTTTCTGATATTTTACCCTACATGGCATTTTTCTCTGGGGCTCGAGTTTTGGCGCACCCTGTATTAGTCCTGAGTTATTATGAAAAGGCTTTCAAACATCCCGTATTTGCCAAAAATATAACTAATTTCGGTGTTATTTTTTTTATTCTTATGAAAAACCAGTATACTATATGTAAAGTTAACTGGAGAATAGGCGTATACAAACCGTTTTGACCTAGTCTTTGAGATGTGGCTTTTAAGAAAAATAAAAATGGCTCTGTACCAAGAACCATAACTTGGAGCAACTTTCGGTTTAAGCCATTAGATAGGTAATTTTAATGGTTTTTAGCTTTTTGTTCTAGGTCTTATAGTTTCGTAGAAAAACGCATTCAAAATTTCAGAATTTCGACAATTTTTACTTTTTGAACGACGATTACGGCCAAACTATTAGACTTAGAGCAAAAAGCTCAACACCATCGTAATCAGTGTAAAAAAATCTATCGATTGATTCCAAAGCCAAGTCAATATCTCACAAAAAAAAACAATTTTTAAACGCCGATTTCGGCGAAACTAGAGGAGATAGCACAAAATGCATTAAAATCTATCGGATAAG